ACTTCTGAGTTATATTCAGGATTGAGTTACTATAATGAAAGCTATTAAGAAAATCTGTGTAAAAATGTTTTCAATCCTCTTCAATAAATACCTAGGAGTGGAATTTCTAGGTCTTAAAGTAGATACTTGGACAACTTTATAACAAACTACCAAACTAGTTTTCAAAGTGAATGGAATATATACAATTCTACTAGTAATGTATGAGAACTGTGGTTACTTCACAACCTTTTAAATTTTGGTGCTCTCATTCTTTTTATTTTTAGCCATTCTGATAAGTATGTAGAAGTATCTCATTGTGGTTTTAATTTGCATTTGACAACAAATGCAAATTAAGCACCATTGCTGTTTTTATTGGCTATTTTATCTAGTTTTATGAAGTGCATCATATATATGTTAAATATATATATTACAAATATTTTTTCCTAGTCTGTGGTCCATCTCCTTTTTTTCTTGGTGGTGGTTATGTATAAAATTTTTCTTTTTGGTGTTGCAAAGAAAAATTAGTACTGGGACAAAGGATCTCTTAGCAAAGCAACTCTTTTTACTGCCTGCAGAAAGGGTATACTCCCACAAGCAATCTTGCCACGGATTACAATGAACAAAAGAAAGCAGACATATTTATTTCTTATGCATTTGGGGTTGCCCTTACTGCTGTGTCTGATCTCCATTGGCTGGAGCTGGACCTCATAATCTAAACTAAAACCCAATTGGCTAATAACTTGAAGCTTTTCTAAACAGGTAAAAGCAATTGTGAGCCAAAAAAAAAGGAAGTTCAAATAAGGAAGGGACATAGGCTGTGAGCTGGGACATGCCTGTGAGCACATCTGGCACAAGTATCTTGGTTAAAGTCCAAGGACATAGGATGTACTACATGCCTGTAAACAAGTCTAACAGCTACACAGGATAGGGCTTCTAGCAAAAAGGCAAGAAGGCTTTTGAAGAAAGTGTTTAAAACAAACTATTATTTCTAACACTTATAAATTTTTCTTAAATAAGAAAGAAAACTTTGAAGAGGAACTGTTTTTTACTCCCCACAGTGATATTTTTTGATGAGTAGATGCTTTCAATTTTCATGAGGTTTAAAGTACTTATTTCTTCTTATGGTTTGTGCTTTTTGTGTGCTTTCTAAAAAAATCTTTTCCTCCTGAAGTTACAAAGATATTCTAGCTTTTCTTCCAGGAGATCTCTGGGTTTTGCTGTTGTATTGTTTTAAGGACTTACACTTCAATCTGTGCTCTGACTCAAATTGATTTTTGTGTATGGTGTGAGGTAGAGGTTAAGCTTCTTTATTTTTTACATAAATATCCAGCTGTTTTATACGATTCGTTGAAGCAATTTTTTTCTATCTTTTTTGAATTAATGTGGTGCTCTTATTAAAAGCCAGTCGACTGTGCATATATATATATATATATATATATATATATATATGTACCTATTTCAGAACTCTCAATTCTGTTTTATTATTTATTTTTATAAGGACAGAGTCTCATTATATCACCCAATCTGGAGTACAGTGGCACAGTCATATGTCACTGTAACCTCAAATTCCTGGACTCAAGCAATCTCTTTGGCTTTACCTCCTGAGTATCTAGGGCTATCGGTATGTGCCATGATGCCTGGCTAATTTCTTTTTTTTCTGTAGAGACAGGGTTTTGCTATGTTGCCCAGGCTCGTCTTGAGCTCCAGATCTTAGGCAATGTTCTCATTTTGGCCTCTAAAAACAGTAGAATTACAGGCATGAGCCTCGATGTCTGGCTTACTCTGTTTTATGGACCAATTTATTTATAATGACAGCTATTTTAACTTTAGTTTTTAAATTAGTTTTATATCTATTTTTTTCCATTTCATAGATTTCAAATTCAGTCATTAAAATCTCGGTAATTTTGCTTATGGTTTTTTGAAAAAGTTTTTTCCCTTTTGATGTCATATGCATATGTATGTATGTATGCATACAAATGTACAAATACACACACATTAAGGCCTTAAATGATCCTAGTTTTTAGACATCAAATTTTATAAGCTCCCTTATTTTTCAGAAATCAGGTTGAGCAGTGGCTTCTAAATTTTGGCAAAGCACAATTAAAAGAAATTGGGGGGCAAAGTATGTGAATTATCCAGATGGCTTACTAAAAAACAGATTTCTGGACCTTACTCTAAGAAGTTTTGACTTAATAAAGTCAAATAGTAAGTCTGGGAAAGGGTCAAAGAATTTGAATGTCTAACAAGCTCAGATGATGCTGATGCTTTTGGCTTATGAAACATACTTTAAAGAGCATAGGCTTAGAAGAATTAGGTGGCCTTTCTAATGTTCATACAGGAGCTTTACTGGAATTTTGATTTGCCTTTTCTAAGTCTGGTTCCATAGCAACTAATTTATAGTGTCTTCACTTGAAAAGACATCTGAAAAATCTGTTCCATGCATCAGAGCATGGGAGCCAGAAAGCATTAGGCAGATGGATAGTACCAACACTGCCTCATTTCCTTCTTCCTACAAACTGGGTTTTGGTCTATGAACAGGGTCAAGCACATCCTTATACATACTACGGCTGAACAGAGCCCTGTGATGAACATGTACTGCAAAGCGGGCATTCTTCTCCCGCATCCTCTGTCAACAATCAGAGAGCGCTTTATTTTCCCCTCAATGGTTGATTGGTCTCTAAACCAGAAACATTTTTATAGCCAAACCTTTAAAACTTTTCTAAATTTATGTTGTAAGTACTTGGCATCTAAGTGAATATTCTTGACAGAACACAGACACTCCGAATTAAAGTTTGATACTCTCAAAGCCAAAAACCTCAGTAATCAAAATCCCAAACCAAATCCCTAAGCTTCTCTAGGTTTTTGAGGACAAGTAGAGAACATTTTAGCTTTCCTTTCCCATAGATCGATAATGAGTGGAAAGGCTGGACACAGTGGCTCACAACTGTAATCCTAGCACTTTGGAAGGCCGAGGCAGTAGGTCCACTTGTGGTCAGGAGTTTGAGACCAGCCTGGACAACATGGAGAAACTCCATTTCTACTAAAAAATACAAACAAATTAGCTAGGCATGCTGGTGGGTGACTGCAATCCCAGCTACTTGGAAGGCTGAGGCAGGAGAATCATTTAAATCTGGGAGGTGTAGGTTGCAGTGAGCCAAGACTGCACCATTGCACTCCAGCCTGGGCAACACGGTAAGACTCCATTTCAAAAAACAAAGAATGATTGGGAAGAAATGCCGGTACCACAACTATGTATCAATTATGTAGAATGTTTATACTTGTACAAGGACAAAATAAAGGTATACTATGTTGTATTTTTATCTTATGATTGGTTAATTACCTATTTGACCTTTGAAACCATCTTAATGAAAAATGAATTCCTACTAAGTTTTCATACTTAAACCACCTTAAAGATGTGAAAAAGAGCAAAATAATTTATCTACTTTATGTTTTAAAAAGTTATTCTGACTAGAGGAGGAGGAGTGTTTGTTTGAAATGCTCCCTCTTACTTGTCTGCCCATCTCTCAGCAGTCTTCTAGCAGTTCCACAAGCAATGTGAACATCACAGCTGATTTATTCACTGGCATTTGGGAATACTAGATAGAAAGTGCTTCATCCTCAAAAGAAGGCCCATTCATGACTAACTAAGAGCATACACCACACTTACTTTAGCAGTGAGAAATTCAGAAATAAAATGACAGCAGGCCTGTGGCTATAACTAATGTGATATTCAACAGCTCCATACTTCCACCTTGCACACACATGATGTATGACCTGTGGTGCCAGGAGAAGGGAGGCAATGCCACACCTCACCTACATTGTTCTCCCAGTTCCCAGAAGCCTCTGGGTTATGAAGAATTATTTTCTCTTTCTTTTTTGAAGGAGATTAAAAGGCATCTAATAAGTTATCAATGAAATTTTCACATACATCCTACAACTTCTCTTGAACCCACCATGTGGTTCTAAGCTGTAAATCATCTTTTCCCCAGTGCTTTTAACCAAAAGTGAATGCAATCCTACTACTCTCTACAGTAGATGAGCACAGAGAGTTAAATTCTGGTAAATCTGGAATGAGCCTGGCCCCTGACCCTTTCTTGCTACACAACCTTAGAAAACCTTTTTGCTTATATCCCCTTTGGTTTTCCAGAACAGAAATTCCTATTCCAGATGGTTGTTCTGAGTTATGCTTATAATATTTTTTTCAAAGCTCATAGCACAATGCCTGACTCACTATACATACTCCACAAATGGTAGTTCCAAGCATTTTCTCTCTCCCCTCTCTCCATCTGTCCCTCCCTCCCTGACACTCTGTCTATATACATATATATGCATCTATACATGTGCACACATAGATGCCACTCAATGAATTATGTATATTTATACATATTTGTGTATATGTATAAGGATGTGTGTATATGCATGCAAATGCATACTTTGTTGATTAGTGTCTAATTACCATTACTGTGATAATTATCAATTGAACTTGAAAAAATAATTGAAACCTTTTGACTTCAACTTAGAGTCTGCTCCAGCATGGATATATATGCAAAATAAATACAAAGACAGCTCCCCTAAAGACCTTAAGGAATTACAAAATTTTGTCAAAGTCTCCTGTGGACACTGAAAACACGAATTAACAGTGTATTTCACAGCACCGCTTCTTTACTCATCTCTTTACCTGAGTCTTTAATCACTTAAGTATCTACCCCCATTTCTCTTCTCTAGCTGAGACACCTGCGCAAACCTCTCTGTATGCTTTGTCTTTGCCCTCTGGCCACCTCTTTATTATTGAGACAATGCAGGCTTCCTTCAGTTTCTACCACTGTATCTTCACCTGTTGTAACACATCTCATAAGCTGGTGGGATATTTTAAAGACAGAAAAGATTTTTCCTTTAAGAGACAAAGGAAAGAGAAGAAGGTCAGGAAAAGGGGGAGGAGAAATACTGTGAATATGGATAAATACCTTTAAAAGTATCACATTTGTCTTAGAAAATAATATATTAAAGTCACAAACCCCTACCTTAGCAGTCCTAATCTTCTTGAATCCTGGACATAAATTTCAGGGCAACATTGGGATTAAGAAAATCTCCTCAGGCCACCACAAAAGGGATGGTTGTCTCAGCTTTCACACAGGTTCCAGTAGAGCCTTCTCCAAATCCCTGAGGATGGAGGTTTCTTCCAAGTCTACAAAATTACAAGAGAAAGAAAACTTCCATAAAGATAAACAAAAAATAAAGTGAAGTTAAATTAAATGCCATTTGGCTTGGAGAGACTAAAGAAAAGATAATTTAAATTCTGTTTGTCATAAAACTGCATAATGCCTGAATGGGTTCAGTCTTGACTGAATTGAAGAATCATACCCCCAAAAAAATCATAGTATATCAAGGCTGGAAGGTATTTTACAACTTAACAATTCAAATTTGCTCATTTAACTTACAGGAAAACTGAGAATGGGAGAGGAAAAGTGATTTTCCATAATGATTCATAATCTGCGGAATAGTTAAATCTGTGTGTCACGCAAATATTTAGTATACAAACACAACGTGTTTAACACTGGCCTGTCGTAAAAGCAAGACAAGGAGACGGTGCATCACTCCACCTTCGAATACCTTTCTCACTTGACTTTTACGGTATCAGTCTTACTACTACCACTGGCCACTCCTTCTTGGCTACCTCTGTTATATCTTTTCGACCTCCCAATTTCCAACATAAGGACATCGTAGGCCTTAGTCCTGAGCCTCTTCTCTATACACACTTTCTCACCAGGTACATCTTCCAGATCCACGGCTTGAGATATCATTTGTACTCTGACAACTCTGAGATTTGTCTCCAGGCCCAGATATTTCCCTCCACTCTAAATTTCTGTCAACTGACTCTTTAACAACTCTACTTGGGATTCCAATAGACATGTCAGATATAACATGATCCAACTCAGGTCTGACTTAATCACCACCACCACCAGCTCCTGCCTGGAAAATACTAAAGCTCTCCTTCTTCTAAGTTTATGCCTTCTCAATCAATGGCAACTTCATTCAATCAGTTGGTCAGGCCATATCCTCCAAGTCAACCTTGATGCCTGTCTTGCATATATACCTTGTGTTGTCCATTTCATCAGCATATTCTGTTGGCACTATCTTCAGAATAAATCCAGCAGCTGACCATTTTTTTTTAACCACATCTTTTACTACCATGCTGGTGTAAGACATTATTAAAGATCTACAAGGGTGCACAGAAGGCTCTCTCAGACTAGTGCTAGCACTCTCTACCAGACCCACCTAAGAGAATGATACTCCCCTGCTCAAAATATTCCACCTCATTCAGAATCAAAGTTACTGTTACACCAGACTTCAAACTGTACTACAAAGCTACAGTAATCAAAACAGCATGGTACTGGTACCAAAACAGAGATATAGACCAATGGAACAGAACAGAGGCATCGGAGGGAACACAACATATCTACAACCATACAATCTTTGACAAACCTGACAAAAACAAGCAATGGGGAAAGGATTCCCTGTTTAATAAATGGTATTGGGAAAACTGGCTAGCTATGTGCTGAAAGCAGAAACTGGACCCCTTCCTGACACCTTACACTAAAATTAACTCCAGATGGATTAAAGACTTAAACATAAGACCTAACACCATAAAAACCCTAGAAGAAAATCTAGGCAAAACCATCCAGGACATAGGAGTAGGCAAGGACTTCATGACCAAAACACCAAAAGCATTGGCAACAAAAGCCAAAATAGACAAGTGGGACTTAATCAAACTCCACAGCTTCTGCACAGCAAAAGAAACAGTCATTAGAGTGTCATTAGAGTCAGCAACCAACAGAATGGGAAAAAAATTTTGCAGTTTACCTATCTCACAAAGGGCTGGTATTCAGAATTTACAAAGAACTAAAACAGATTTACAAGAAAAAAACAAACAAGCCCGTGGCTCATGCCTATAATCCCAGCACTTTGGGAGGCTGAGGCAGGTGGATCACGAGGTCAAGAGATCAAGACCATCCTGGTCAACACAGTGAAACCTTGTCTCTACTAAAAATACAAAAATTAGCTGGGCATGGTGGTACATGCCTGTAGTCCCAGCTACTTGGGAGGCTGAGGCAGGAGAATTGCTTGAACCCAGAAGGCAGAGGTTGCGGTGAGCCAAGATCGCGCCATTGCACTCCAGTCTGGGTAACAACAGCAAAACTCCGTCTCAAAAAAAAAAAAAAAACTGGGCAAAGGATATGAACAGACACTTTACAAAAGAAGACATACATGAGGCCAATAAACATATGAAAAAATGCTCATCATCACTGGTCATTAGAGAAATGCAAATAAAAACTACATTGAGGTACCATCTCACGCCAGTTAGAATGGCGATCATTAAAAAATCTGGAGACAACAGATACTGGAGAGGATGTGGAGAAATAGGAACACTTTTACAATGCTGGTGGGATGTAAATTAGTTCAACCATTGTGAAATACAGTGTGGTGATTCTTCAAGGACCTAGAAATAGAAATTCCATTTGACCCAGCAATCCCATTACTGGTTATATATCCAAAGGACAATAAATCGCTCTACTATAAGGACACGTGCACACAGATATTCACTGTAGCACTGTTTACAATAGCAAAGACCTGGAACCAACCCAAATGCCCATCGATGATAGACTGGACAGGGAAATGTGGCACATATACACCATGGAATATTATGCAGCCATCAAAAACAACGAGTTTGTGTCCTTTGTAGGGACATAGATGATCCTAGACACCATCATTCTCAGCAAAGTGACACCGGAACAGAAAATGAAATACCACATGTTCTCATTCATAGCGGGTGTTGAACAATGAGAACACATGGACACAGGGAGGGGCGTATCACACACTGGGGTCTGTTGGGGGGAATAGGGGAGGGACAGCAGGGGATGGGAAGTTGGGGAGAGATCGCATGGGGAGAAAAGCCAGATATAGGTGAACGGGATGAAGGCAGCAAATCACGCTGCCATGTGTGTTCCTATGCAACTATCTTGCATGTTCTTCATATGTACCCCAAAACCTAAAATGCAATAAAAATATATATAAAATTTTTAAAAAGTTACTGTTACAATGGTCAAAATGATCCCACTTGATGCTTGATGCATCTCTCTTACCACCATCTTCATCTTCCAGTCTTCTCTTCTCCCCCTCATTTATTCCTCTCTAGCCTCTAAACACCTCTGACTCTATTAGGAGCCTTTGAACTCATCATTCCCTCTACCTGGCACACTTTTCTCCTCACTGTTTCTTGTCTTTGCTCAAATGTTACCTTTCCAGGGAGGACCCTTGCAAAATTACCCTACTTAAAATTGTAAACTCTTACCACCTGTCTCATTCCCATTTCTCTAGGTTTAAAAGTATATTTGATATATTACATGTCTATCTGCTTATGATCTGCCATCCCCCAGTAAAATGTAAACTCCATGCATGCAAGAAATTTTATCTCTGGTATCCTGCTGGGTCTCAGGCCCTTCATTTCATTGAGAGCTTAGCACAAAGGCGGAGCTCAAGAAATATTTTTGAATGAATGAATGAATTAGCAGACAGGAAGGTTAAGTAAACCTTCTCATGGCTACTCAGCTGATAAGTGGCTGTGCCTGGTTTGAACCAAAAGCATTCTATCTCCTGCAATTTTGACAACTATGAAATATTTACTAGATGAATGTCTTCTAGTGTTGGGCTTAGGAAAAGAATTGGTATAGTCTGGAGTGTGATGCAAAATATGAATATTAGGTATATTTGTGAATCTGGCACACAAAAGCCCCAGAACTATTTCTAGGAATCCCTAGAGAGTATGTGTGGCATGTCTTGGTATAACTCCGCTTAGAGGCTAATACTGAAATCTCATTGTTACTTTCATCATGTCTTTTTCAGGTTTTCTGCCTTTGTTTCCATGCCATTATTTCTTGTCATTCCCTCAAATCTCAGTCCCTGCTTTACTATAAAAAGTATTAAGTAAAGGAATCCAGGGTTAGACCAAAACAAAAAAACAAAAAGAAAAAAAAACCGGGGGTGGGAAAGAGATGTGTTTAGGGAAAAGGTATTGACAGTCATCAAAAGACTTTATATCTAAATCTAATTAGGTCACAAATTTGTCATGTCTCTTTAGGGTCATCCCTTCCTATCCCTGGGGTACTCCAGATGCTGGAGTACAGTGGCACGTCTCAGCTCACTGCAACCTTCACCTCCCAGATTCAAGCAAGTCTCCCTTCCTCAGCCTCCTGAGTAGCTGAGATTACAGTTGCCTGCCACCATGCCTGGCTATTTTTGTATTTTTAATAGAGACATTTTTACCATGTTGGCCAGGCTTTTCTCGAACACCTGACCTCAGGTGATCCACCCACCTTGGCCTCTCAAAGTGCTGGGATTATAGGCATGAGCCCCTGAGCCCAACTGGTACCCCTCATTTTTATTTTATGTTACCCCTCATTGGGGTAACATAAATTCCTTCAAAGATCTTTAGCTCCCAAAAAATGATTTTCTTTTTTTAAATAATAAAAGGGTCCCTTATTCCCAGTAGTCTAAAATTGGTTAGAAAATATGGTACAGTGTTTAAGAACTAGGCTTTGGGGTTTACTGCTGTGGTTCTGGTTCTGGTTCCATTCTGGTTTCACCAAGTTCCATTACATAAACATAGGATGTTTATGTAAATGAAATGAAATCATAGGTAAATCATTCATTACTGTGCATAATGTAAGTGCTCAATAAACTTTTACTGTTCATTATTTTTAAAGTTTTCACTGCTGTAGGCTTACATTCTGCATGACATTTCATGAAGTTATCTACCTTCATCTTACTCCCCACTGGAATCTCAATCTTTCCATCTTTTATCATAGGACATTGCTTTTGTAGCCCTTAGTGACTTTGGACAACTTTGTCTGGACCAGCTCCAGGCTCAGTTGTATGCAGTTACCCCAGCTGCCCCCACATTTCAGGGCTGATGGCAGAATATTGTAACATGAGAAAGTCATGATTTCTGAATCATTTATTGTCTGCTTTCCTGTACCTGGTAATTTGAGGATGATCTTGGCCCTGGTTTTGGAATGTCAAGCCAGTCTACAATTATTCCTGCATTCTGAAGCCAAGAGACACAACTCTGGAAGCGAACAATGCTGTAATTCAGCACAATGATAGATGGAGTTATTAAAGAAATCGTGC